TTCTGTCAGCTCAGAGCCCACCCCTCCCGCTTTCCCCACTTTCCTGCCCACCTGCCAGCCTGCCACTCTGCACTACATGGCTCCCATACCCACATCAATACCCACACATCCCCACAAACCTCCATATGCAATCACTTGTGCTGTATATGCAGAAACACACACAGATCAGGACAAAAATATTTTTTAAAATTAAATTAAAATATATTATGGGTGTTTGATTTTTAGTAGGTAATTTGTTTTTTTTTTCCCCCCAAGATGGCAAACCTTCTTCTCCAAAGGAGTGCTTCCAGGAGCAAGGGGAGGGACTTCCAGTGGCAAAGGTCAGAAGTTAGGGGTAAGAATTCCAATCCCAAGATGGCCACCAGGGGGCAGGGCACCCATCAAGGGGCGGGGCTACCCATTTGACCCTTGACAGCTTGTCAAAAGTTGGTAAGCAGCCTTCCACCCAAAATAATTGCTCGCCCTTGGGCTATATCTACTTTAAAATAAAAGTGCAACTGCAGCTGACATAGCCATACCCAACCTAGGTTTCAGCCAGGTAGCTTGGATACTACTAGCATCATAGCCACAGCAGCACAGAGTTGAGTGCAAGCTGCACAGCCCACCTAAGAAGCTAGAGAAATACTTCAGTAATTAGCCCATGTTGAGCTCCATGTTGCCATGGCTAGGCTTCTAGCAGTACCTGAGCTAAGTAGTTTATAACTACCTTGGAAGTGTCTACACAAGCTTAAGGGTATACTTAAACCTTCATAAGGTGCAGAGCCTACATCACAATGGCTTCAGCCTGGAATATCCTAACACACCCTGCTAGTCAAGCATCATATGCTCTCTATACCTCTTGCCTCTTCTTTTAAATCCATCTTATTCCTTCTAACAAACGCATAACACTCTCTTATATTATCTCAAACTTCCCACGCACCACGTTCTCCCCCCCACTTTCTACACCTCTGGTATGCACCCTGTACAACACACCAGAAGTGAAGACTTGCTCAGATGAATGTTGGCATGATGACAGGATATGCAGAAAAAGACCGTGCTGATTATTTCCTGCTGGTTTATGCTCTTCTAATCAGGAACATTCTGCTTTTGCAGGTGAACAACACAGAATTTGTTAAAGCTCTAACAGTACAAGAGTATCTTGCCATCATCCTATTTATAAATCTGGACCTGCTAGTCTTAATTAAACTTTCCAATTCCTAAAGAGCACCTTCCAGCCTAATATCTACTGTGGATGGCTTGTCAGGGGCTCTAAGTGTCACTGACATGAGTTAAATATTAGATTAAAAATAATCCCGCATAAA